TGTGACATGCTAAAGATGAAATTTCTTTTTAATCCAAACTTTAACCTTAGCAATCAAATTTAGCCTCTAAGGGAACTAGGTTTTACTTTCGATTTTTCTTGAATTCTCACTTTCTAATACTTCATTTTATACCTATTAGGGTGTAAATAAACCATTATTCATGAAGTTGAGTGGTTAGATTTAAATACATCCATATACTTTAATCCTACGAACCCATTTAACCATAATTATAGTAGAATTTCTTTCTTAACCCTAGTTTAGGTAGTTATGATCGAATTTTGCTCTTAATGGGCCTAGGATATAATTTTGGTTCATCTCTTGGATTCTTACCCTTTAACATTTCATTTTACCCTTTTTTATGTGGGATTTAACCATTAATCATAAGGTTGGAAGGTTAGAACCCTAAATCTAAATTTTATGGGATTAGGCCGAATAGGGTTCTAAAGTGGTTAAAGGTTTCCTATTTAATCTAACTTACTAATTTATGCTTAATAGAGTTGTCATTGAACATTAAATCCATCATTACCTAAGAGAAAGTCCAAACTTGTTTCCTTTTTCCCTTCTAGGCCAAATGGGTTCCTTTTAGAAAACCTTAGGAATTCATTTCTTTACTTCTAAGTCATGCTTTCCAAATCCATACCAAGTATAGTTTAGGTCTAATCAAATTTGATCCAACCACATCTATCACGCACACATCCACATCAACCATTCTTCGGATCATAACAACCATACTAGATCTATCACAAAACATTAAAACATAACATCAACACAAGCAACCATGACAACACATTACATGGCTTAAAACAAAAATCATAAATTGAACATATACAAGAGAACTTAAGACATAAAGTAAGCAAAAATGAAACCTACTTACAATGATATATGCTTGTTTAAGATTTCTTAGACTTTTCCTTCTTTTTTCTCTTTCTTTCTTTCCTTCCTTTTTATTTCTTTCTTTTCTCTCTTTCTTTCCCTCAAAAAGCCATTTCTCTTCTCTCTTGAAAGCTATGGTTTTTGTCTAAAAAAAATGGCGAAGTTCATTTCTTTCTCCTATTTTTATATCACACTTTTAAACCATTTATTTCTTAGCATTGCAAGTGTCAACAATTTATGGTAAACTAAGGTCAAATGATGGGACTAAATGGGACGAAAGTTGGCGTGTTGGACTTTCCAAAAGGAGTGGGATAGTACAATTGGAAGTAAGGTGGAAGATTTTATGTCACATCACTAACTAAAGATAGAAACTAAAAGGTAAGTAAACTAACTAAACTAACCAACTTTCTTACCTCATTTGATTCTCAAAAATTCAACCATACACCTTGTTTAGGTCATTCTTTCACTTGCATGGTTATTTTAATTATAACATAAAGAAAAAAAATAAATCATGGCTAGTTAAATTTCCAAAAAAGTGATTCCTATGAACACATCCATAAACATTAAATATTTTAACACAACAAGTATAAAAGAAATGACACATAAATTATACCCACATAATTATGGATATTCCAGGAGATATTCTTCTTGGGAATTAAAATTTCGACATGTTGAAATATATTTTTTTCATAACTCCTCACATAAACACGAAGCATGTTACTATCTCCAAAAATTTAAAATGACATGTAAATCACACCTAATATTTCATATATACGGATATAATATATCGGTACGTATAGCTATATAGCTAAGGAGTTTCACGAGGCTTACACTACTTAGTGGCTTTTTGGTTTTTTTTTTTTTTTGTCCTTAAATTTTAACTAGATTATAGGAAGGTTTTTTTTTAGGGGTTTTATGTAGCTTAGGTTTTGGTGTCTATTGATGATGAATGGGAGGTCTTTTGAAGATGGTCGATGGTGTTGAGTTTAGGAAAAATGATGGAGGCTTATGGTTTTAGGAATAAAAGCTTCTCTCTCTAGATTTCTTTTTAGAGAAGAAAAATGAGTAGCCTCCTTTATGCGAAAAGAGAGAGTGATACTTATATAGTGTAGGTTGTTGAGGTTTTTAGAAAAACCCTAACTTATCTATTTTTCTTTTATTTTTCCACTCCTCATCTCATCTTTTATTTTCTCTTCAAAATCTTATTTTTAGTTGGATTTTTTTTAATTGAATCCCCAAAAGAAAATTTTCTTAGTTCTAATTCCCCCTGTAATTTTGATTGGACCCCAAGTCTCAATTATTTCTATCTCTCTCTCTCTCTCTCTCTCTTCTTTTCTTCTTTTTTCCTTTTTTTTTTGTTAATTTTATAAATTCTCAAAAATCATATGATTTCTAAAAAAAAATCCTAACCCAAGAGTAAAAAATTGCACAATTAAACAAATTAAACAAAACACATTTAGTTTTTATATTTTTTAAAAAAAATATACATATAAAAAAAGGGTCAAAATTGAGTGATAACAAGGAAAAAAAAAAGATAGAAGGGTTTGTGGAATAAAAAGAGGACCTTAGAGAGGAAAAAGGGAAGAACATGTGAAAAGAAAATGAGAAAACATCATTTAGGCATCACATTAAGTTTAAAAAACAAGTTTACCTATCAACCCCAAGCTTTGTAACCATTTTTGAACTTCAACAAGCAATCTCCTACTCTTTTTACTTCATTCTCTATCAATCGTAACGGGTAAAAGTATATTTGGATGTCCATTAATGTTAATGGATCTAAAAAATAACTTAAACCTTAATGAATAGGAATGTTAGTTGTGTTTTGCTTGTTTGCAATACCCTTAGATGTTTTTGCTTACTGAATTTTTTGTACGAATATCATCTATTTATCTATAATCCGTGTGTGAAATTTTACATCTTTAAAATTTAGAATAGATTTTTGATTAAATCATCTTTTTGATCATTGCTATGATAGTTATTGAAGTAAAAAATAGCTAATGCCATATTTTGCACTGTTTGACATTGTTTTAAATATTTTTACTTTCTAATTTTTTTTTATAAACACCGTCTACTTGTCTTTAATCTATGTGTGAAATTTTAGATCTTTATGATATAGAATGATATTCAGTTTAAGTTGACTTATTGGCTACTTATAGTACTAATCTTTTCGTATGAGCATCTTCTATCTATCCTTAAGTTTTATTCAAACTTTCATAATTAATGAATCAAATAAGCCTTTTTAACTCAATGGTATAGTAACGTCATGATAAGGCATAAGTCATCGGTTCAAATCCGATAAGGGGCTTTGTCCTTTTTTGATAAAACTCTCGAGGGAGTATTTCTATTTGAAGGGAAATTCCATTTGCATGAGGAATAGAGATATTGTTAATATTAGTAATAAATAATAAATAAGGTAAGAAACTATATATTTCCAAAAAATATAATTTTAATAAATTTGGATGAGTTTTGGCATGTTATTTAAATTTAATTTGATTATTACTATGTTTATCGTGTAGGGTGTGAAATCGTTGAGTCTCCTAGATTCTAAAAATCGATGACAATTTCATGTATGGTGTTAGTTATAATTGTTAGTTATAATTAATAAAAGGCATTCCATTTTAAATCAATTAGGAGAGTTAGGTCAAGCCAACAAGTCTTCAATTATTTAAGAATCGACAATGGTATCGACATATGAACAAAAAAAAACTAAACTAAAACATTAGTTTACTATTCATTAGCACTATTATAAATAATATTCATACGGACTCATATGTACTATTCATTTCACTTGAGCTCTTTTTTTTTAAACATTGTTTTTCGATCCACAAATTTTTTTGTTTTATATTGGTCCCTCTTTTTTGTTTCATTTTAGTCGCTTTAATCCTTTTTTTATTTTTTAATTAAAAATTTTAAGGCAAAAAGATGTTTAGAAAAAAATTTTTATAAAATAAGTTTTTAGCTGAAAATATAGATAAAGATAAATAAATAATATTTCTTTAATTAAAAATTATGAAAATATAAAGAATGATTATTCAAATACAAAATTTTGATTAAAAAATTATAAAATTGAATGAATTTTTATTCGGTTTTGATTTGATATATTTTGGTAGATGTATAATATAACATGGGAAATCTAACCGAAATAATTTTTTAAAAATAATTTTATAAGTTCTGTCCGACCCGCAGCGTAGTGTTGGTAAAAAAAAAAAAAGTTTTACCTAAAAAAATGAATCTACAAGAGTGTATGGGCCAGCTTTTCCTCTACATCTTAAATTTAACCTTTTAACTTTCTAGGTCATGTTTCTAACATACCAATTGTATCGGGATTTAAATCGATCCAATGAAAGATTGAAGAGACTTTTAATTTCGAGACTCGACGTCAATTTCTTACAATTTTATGATTAAAAAAAATTCCTTATGAATTTAGATAAATAAACTTAGGAAATAATTTAACAAATATTACTTACAGGAAATAATATTTAAAATTAGACTAAACTAGGTATCTTTTTTTCGAAAAGAATATCTTCTAGGTTATTGTTATATTATTAGTTGATATAACCAATTATTTAACTAAATTTCTAAATCTAATATCGTTTTAGATTTTATAGTTCTTTTAATATTAGAATACGACTCCAAATCTGTAATTCTTTTTCTTAATCATTTGGATGTCTCATAAAAAATACAATTGAAAAATATGAAAAACATTCAAAACCTATTGAATAAAATTAAAATTTACCTCCCTCAAAATTTTACTCCAACAAAATCCAAGACTCTTTGGGATTGTTGGAGTGACGTGTCCTAGCAAATATTAAAAATTCTTATGTTGTGCGAATCTGTCCGTTTGCAGTTACCCATAAAAAAGAGCAAATTCCTCACTTAGCCATAACTGAAAAGAAAACGTTAATCGAGCTACAATAAGGACTCAATGGACATTATGTAATCATTAACGTACTTTATTGTAATTTAAGTGTCCACGAGATTATTCCTGGGTTCCAGCAAAACCCTCGCCTATAAATACATACTGTCCCGCACTCTGCATGTTCTCTCTCGCTCTCTCCAGTTCTTGCGATCTCTGCTTCTTTGTCCGTCTTTGGAGCGATACGCGAGAGAAGCTCTTTGGCGCAGTAATGTTGGTCTATCAAGATCTTCTCTCTGGTAATTTTGTATATCTTATTTTATTTCTTTCTTTTCTGCTTGTTATCTTCTTAGATCTATCTATCTATTTAAGCATGAAAGTTATTTTTGTGGTAGATTTTGGATCTAATATTACTGTTATGGAGGTTTAATTAATTTTCTAAGATCTGGAAAAAAATGATTTGGGATTTTTTTGGTTTGGTCTGATTAAAATTTTTGTATTTGGTTTTGGCTGATTTAAAATTTTGTATGTATGGCATCTGGTCGCGAATTTTTGTTGTTTGTAAAGATGGTTTTGAGGTTTTTAAGCGAAACCCATTTGTTTTTTGTTTTCTTTTGTGATAGTTAATAAAAGTGTCAGTAGTGTCTAGCATGATATCTTGAATTAGGTGGATAGATTCGACCAATATGTTGATCATATGGATTGATGTCGTTGTTTGTGATTTTTATCAGGTGATGAGCTTCTCTCCGATTCTTTCCCATACAAGGAAATTGAGAATGGGGTGCTGTGGGAAGTTGAAGGAAAGGTTAGTGTTACTGAATTTTTTGTTTTGTGTTTGTACTGGGGGTGTTAGATTGCTGCTACTGATTTTATTATATGATTTGTGTGTAGTGGGTTGTTCAAGGAGCCCTTGATGTAGACATTGGTGCAAATCCTTCTGCTGAGGGAGGTGGTGAAGATGAGGGTGTTGATGACCAAGCTGTCAAGGTGGTTGACATTGTTGACACATTTAGGCTCCAGGTGAGTTTGTGTGCTATTTGCTGGGTGGATTGAGCCTTTTTTTTTTCCTTTGAGAAAATTTTTTGGGCAAAAGCTGATGAAAAGTGTGGATTGGTGCTTTCAGGAGCAACCTGCTTTTGACAAGAAGCAGTTCGTCACATACATGAAGAGATTTATCAAGATATTGACGGAAAAACTTGATGACGAAAAGAAAGAACAATTTAAGAAAAACATTGAGGGAGCAACCAAGTTCTTGCTTCCAAAACTCAAAGACTTCCAATTGTAAGTGCCTTTTATTGATTGATGCTTGCATCTGTTGTTTGCTTCGATGTGGTGTTCAATTGGATTTATTATCTTCAAATTGTTTTTCCAAACTTCTGTTGTATGTTTTGATGATATTTAAGACGTTGCCCTTGTCTTGCAGCTTTGTGGGAGAGAGTATGCATGATGATGGTTCTTTGGTCCTTGCTTACTACAAAGAAGGTGCTACCGATCCAACATTTTTGTACTTTGCTCATGCTTTGAAGGAGGTCAAGTGCTGAAAAGTGCTAGTAGGCTTCGAAGTGCAAGTGTTTGCTATGTTAGTTCTAGTTTTATCATTGAATGCTTCCGCTTTTGCTATCTTCTGTGTTGGACTTGAGGCATTGTGCCTCCTATTTTGGTTTAATTGTTGCTTGTTAACTATTACAAGTTCATTCATGGTATTTATGTTTTGCTTGCCCTAATAATCCCATGTGTGGCCCAACTGTGCTCTATAATTTCGGGTGCAAGCTCCTTCTTCAATGGAAAACAAGCAAATCACGCTTCTGTAATATGATTGGTGCTTGCAATAGTTTGTTTTGGTACTTTAAAGATTGCCTTGAAATGACCCTTTTGGAAGGGTAATTGTTTAAAAACGGCAGGAGCATTTCGTAAGGATGCTGGTAAAGTACGGCTACAGGAGCGAGTGGATAGGTTTGCAACGTTTTATTTGCTGAGGTGCGCTGAGGCCTGAGAGGAGCATGTTCAATGTTTTTTTTTTCCGTGTGATTTAAGTAGATTGTGAATTTCCCATGGTTTGGACGTTGGTGTGTCTGCTAGAAACAAGAATTAAAACAAAAACGTTATACGGTGTGTTTCTTCATATAGACAAACCTTATTATAACTAGGTGGAGTTTTTTTATTTTTTATAACAAAACACTTTTAAATCTTATTTATCATGATAGGATGTTTTTAAAGTTATTTATCAAAATAAGGTATTTTATATCACATAGAAATCATCTCATCTATATTACTTAACATGTTTTTTTTTAATTATTATTTTGTTAAATAAATATTTTATCATTACATGTTAATCTCTTCTTTTTTTAATATTTTTTCTTTGTATTAGTATGCTCTTCTTCTTCTTTTCTTATCTCTCTCTAATTTTTTTTATCCATATCATTAATTTTCTTATTGCTCAATCAGCCCTTCTATTAATCTTTAGCATCTCTTCTATTAATCTTTGGTATATTCTACTGTTCACTCACCTTATTTAACAAGCCAGCTGACTCTGCAACAAGAGAAAAACCAACCCCCACGCCCACAGCCCTTCTCCTTGCCTCACAGCCTACCTCGCAGCCATACCCCCGCAACCGCAAGCAACCTCGCCATAGCTAACCCTCACACAGCCCACACCACCAGCCTCCTTCATGTTACTTGTACCGTATCGCATAAGGAGTATATAAAAGGAAGATCCTCCTCTTACTTATAAAACACAAACTAACCAGTAATTAAACTCTCTTCTACTAGAAAAGAAAACCTAATTTTATGTATTCATCATTATCATTAGAGATATGCTGGGTTATTACATCCGTGAATTTGAACTAAAACGGTTAAGCGAAATTACAAATGGATTCAGTGAGGATAATTATATCGGAAAGTTCCAATTTGGCAAAGTTTACCATGGGGTTTATGCCCGCAAAGATGTTGCAGTGAAGATTTATGAAGATGATAATACTCTTTAAGAAATTAGGAAAAAAACATCAAAATAGAGACAGAAAGCGTAATTTAATTTTTTTCTTTTATGTTGCTATTAAATATATATAGTAATACTTAATTAAAAAAGATGATATAGATACCTACATGGCAAAACTATCCTTTTTAAAAAAAAATAAGATTTAAGATGCCTTATTTTGAAAAAATAGATTAAAAAGTATCCTATTCAGAGGTAAAAACTCTAACTAGATGACTACTTTCATTGACACATGAAATTCATTAAATAATATATTTGAAAAGAAACAGAATTAATAAATTTATTTGAAAGTAAATAATAATCAATATATGTATTATATTTGTCATTAAGAGTTTTTTAAGGTCATTTTTGTCTTATGATTGAAATAAGCAAACTTTTTTTTTCTTTTTTAATCTTGAATCACTTCTCAATTTCCAAAATTAATCAATGAAGTATTAAATTTTTTTATGAAACACTTGGTGGTTTGCTTTAAAACAAAGCAAGTAAAAGTGCAGGGGGCTGGACAGGCTCATAGCTTCATACACATGGGATTAATAAATTGGAATTGTAAGAAACCAAAGAACGCAAACCCAGAGATCAAGTACGGAGAATTCTAACAGTCGTTTCGTTAAAATCAACAAAGGACCATATGCCAGACGAGGAAGTTTATTCGAAACTTCATGGTTAAAGCCAATTCAATCTGCAATTAGGATCACGTTGTGTACCTTTTAAAAGCTCTATGATTGCATCTTCTTCTTCAAAATAATAATACATACATACATACATACATAAAAAACTTATGGACGCGACCATGTGATGTCTCTAAGTAGCATCACCCATGACAATTACTAGTGTCAGCCTCCCGTGCCTTTTGTGTCTAGATATATCGTTATATTATCAGTTCTGCAACTATGGGAAAAAAATTGATATCAATTTATAATTTTCAGTTTTTGACTCTTCTCATTTATCTGCTGCGAAATTTTCTGTCACAGAGCCAACAAGAATGACAAAAAAATATATGTATATGTATATTAAGAGAGTTGATGAAGAAGACGATATGAGAAGGAGAGAATGAAATAGCCGAGGCCATCCCTTACCTTTCAACATGTTTAGATCCTTGTAACCTTTTTATTTTAGCATGGCATGGCATTGCAGGATTCTCCGTAGTTTTGTAGAACAAAGTCTAAATTTTAAGCTATATCCCGCATCTTGCAAGTTCGAGTTCCAAGTAGACGGAGGGTTGTGATACTGCTGTGTGGCAAATTGTAACGTGTATTACCTTGTCCGGCTATGGATGCATAACATTTGATGAGGGATGACAACTTGAATTTTATCAAAGATTTAAGAGCATGAAATTCATGCCAAATTTTTCAAAAGCATCAACTTCAAATGCAAATAAAATGTGGATTTGGGATTATAAGAATTCGATTAAATACTATTCAAGGAAATTAGAGTTCTTTGGTGACATGGGTATCGATCCAAGAGTAGATGGAAATATCCTCCTAATGATTTGGTTGCTTCACAATCAAGACAGAACAGTGTGCATTATGAGAACAGTGGTCACTAACAATGCCCAGAAGTGCCCTTAAACGTAATTAGGCTTTCTTGTCAGAATCCAACACAGTTCCATATATAATTCCAAAGCTTCATATTAGTTGAAGCAGATTCGACATGTAATATTGGAATGAGGATAAACTTTTGTATTTAGTAGCTTTTAACAGCTCCATAATTATGACTGCCCACCACCAACATGGATGCATGGTGTCTATCTACGGCATCACATATGACATTCCTAGCATCACCCTCCATTACTTCTACTATCACATTATTTAGCTGCAAATTAGTCACTTAAATTAATGCTCAATGGAATCTGATCTTCATCAAATGATAAGAGGTGCCACTCTCTGCCCTCTTTCTTTAATAAAATATAAATTTACAAAACGAAATGAAAAGGGCAAATCATTATTATTATTATTATTATAAAGAAACTCAAAACAATTTAGGGCTATGTTTGTTTGAGGGAAAACAAGTTCCAGTAACTTGTTTTCCTCATTTTTCAGTGTTTGTTTCGTATTTAGGAAAAAAGTCAACGGAAAATGATTTTCAATCAATGAAAAATGATAGAATATTTTTTAGAAAATGTTTTTTCGGTTTGAAAAAAGAAAAAAAATTTCCTTCTCACGAGTTGTCTCACTCTCGCTTTACTTACATCTCTTTCAATATATTTTAACAATTTTTTTCTCTATCTTCTTTTTAAAATATATCAAATTAATTTTTAATCATTCCTTATCAATTGTTATTTATTACTTAATTATTATTTTCTCTATTTCTACTAATATTTGAGTTTTTTATTTATAGATACATTAAATATTCTTAAAAACCATTTTTACATCTTAAAATTATTTTTATAATAAATATTTTAATAATTTATCTTTATTTTTTTTAGTATTATCTCGAAGACTACTTACACTATACTTAAATGATTGAAAATGATTATTACAAGGCTGTAATTTTTTATTAAAAAAATTGAAATTAATTTATTTATTAATAAATACATTATTTTTTCAACACTATTCATTTGTAACTAAATCAATAATTTGTAATTTTATCAGTTGTAAAATTTTGTTGGTAATTGTAGTGAATAATTAGTTATAAATTATTCCAACATTAATCTTTTGAAACCAAATGAATAATTATCTACAAATGATAACTAATAATTTATAAAATTATTTTTTAAACTAAATTATTAGTTCAATTTAAAAAAAAATTCTTAATTGAATTACCAAAATAACAATGCTAAGATTACTTAGAATTTTCTTTTTTTTTAACTAAATGTGAATATTGACTTGATTTTGTCCTAAGTAATTTTGATAAATTGGTTTGATGGTTAAAAAAGTACATTTTATTTTTTGAGTTAAAATTTTAGAGTTAGTATTTATGAAAATTTATTAAATTTTTCTAAATATATTTTAATTTTTGAAATTAGTATATAATTTGTTTTTACAAAATAACAATGCATTTTTAAAGTTTTCTAAAAACTTGTTGATGTAACAATCACATAATGTTTTTGTATTTTAATTTTTTATATCAAACAAATGCTGAAATATATTTTTCAGCAATTTTTTCATATAATTTTCAAACGGCAGAAAATATTTTTTTGAAAAATAATTTTCTGAAAAATAGCTTCCTCATGAATTAATTTTTATATGAAAGTTGTTTTTTACCAAACAAACGGAGCCTAGGTTTGTTTTTACCTTCCAAACCTCTAATATAATAACATCAAATCGACATTGTTTTGACAAATTGACGTCTTTTTGGGGAAAACAAAAAAGAAGTGATTTTTAAAAAATAATTTCATTTTAGTCCTTAGTTTTTTACATTTGCACAAAATAGTCCTTCAACTTCTTTTACATTTGCACAAAATAGTCCTTCAACTTCATTTGTGCCAGATCTTGATTCCTGAGTGTAAAGATGGGTTCAGGTTTTTTATTTCTAGGGTGGATTAGAGGGTGTTTTGAGGTTAAGCATTAGGTTTTTACATGATTTTAACGTATTTTTAGGTAAAAATGGAGTAGAAATTGTGCCAGCAAAGCCAAAAAAAACGACCCCTCAATTTTATCGTCGGAAATTGCACGTGGGTGGCTGGAACTTGTTGGAGAAGAAGACGCACACAACGCATTGTCCTCTCCTCTTGTTTTTATTTTTTATTTTCACACGCCCAACAATCCAGCCTAAACAGACCGACCCAAACGCGCAACGGCCAAACTTAATTTAAAAAATAAAAAATAAAAAATAAAAAAAATTTCCTTCTCTCTTTTTTTTTTTTTTTTGGTTTATTATTAATTTTCTCCATAGAATTAATAGATGTTTTCTTTTTATTCTTCATATAATCTCACAAAAAAAAGACTTTGTTTTCGTGATTTTGAATTCATTATTTATTTTAAAAAATAGTATAAAAAATAATGATTTTTTATGCAGCCTTAAAAAAAAAAAGATTAACTACTAATTTTTTTTATAATAAT